GCATGTTTGTCGACGTCGCCATGGTACCGCGCCCGCCCGAACAACCGACTCGCATTGTAGTGCCCGCGCGTCAGCGCGGCCTGCGACACGAATTGGGAAGAACCCCGCGGTCAGCGTTACCGCGGCCGCGTCGGTCGCGCCAAACCAGCTGGCCGCACTGCGCGCGAGCCTGCGCGCGCGAGCGCGGCCGCAACGACGCGCCAGCCACAGCCAAACACTCATCGCAATCGCCGCCGCATACGCTTTGCAAATCAAGCTGCTGGCGGGCGGGTGGGATGATTGCGTGGCTTGTGGAATTCACGAGTCACAAGTGAGCATAAACTAGTTGTCCTTTTTTTCCGTCCACGAGAATTCGGACCCACCGCCCCCCCGACGACGGACTTATCTACCCCCGTGGGCTTGCGAAATTCACGTACGATGTTTCACCATTGCGCATGTAAGACATGAGCTCATACAGTCTCAGCCAGGCCGGGATCGACCACCCCCCCCCTCATCCTCATCAAAGAAACGCATGCCAGAATCCTTCACACACCCTGGGCGCCGTGCAAATGTCGTGCGTAATCGGGCGTCCTGAGAACATCTAAGCGTTGGTGTTGCAACATGTTCCTGTCCGAAACAATGCGCGCCAGCTACTGCACATTCTTATGGAAACATCGCGTTTGTCAGCGGAATCACTAAATATACCAAACGAACCTCTCGCGCGCGCATGGCTAAATCACTCGGACAACCTTGCGCACGTGCTGTGGGGAAACGATCCTGGTCAAATTATCCGTGCGGGTCAATCGCGCGTGTCGGCCGCGGGCGCATGCAGAAATCTCCCCCAAACTCTCATCACAAATTGATGGACACCATCATCGTCATCGGCGTGTTCAGCATTCGCGCCGTCATTGGTTACGCCGTCGTCCTTGTCACAATCGTCACCCGCATGGCTACTATCATCATCGTGTCTGTCGCATGTCGACGTCGCCATGGTGCCGCGCCCGCCCGAACAACCGATTCGCATTGGAGTGCCCGCGCGTCAGCGCGGCCTGCGACACGCATTGGGGAGACCCCCGCGGTCAGCGTTACCGCGGCCGCGTCGGTCGCGCCAAACCAGCTGGCCGCACTGCGCGCGAGCCTGCGCGCGCGAGCGCGGCCGCAACGACGCGCCAGCCACAGCCAAACACTCATCGCAATCGCCGCCGCATACGCTTTGCAAATAAAGCTGCTGGCGGGCGGGTGGGATGATTGCGTGGCTTGTGGAATTCACGAGTCACAAGTGAACATAAACTGGTTGTCCTTTTTTTCCGTCCACGAGAATTCGGACCCACCGCCCCCCCGACGACGGACTTATCTATTCCCGTGGGCTTGCGAAATTCACGTACGATGTTTCACCATTGCTGTAAGACATGAGCTCATACAGTCCCAGCCAGGCCGGGATCGACCACCCCCCCTCATCCTCATCAAAGAAACGCATGCCAGAATCCTTCACACACCCTGGGCGCCGTGCAAATGTCGTGCGTAATCGGGCGTCCTGAGAACATCTAAGCGTTGGTGTTGCAACATGTTCCTGTCCGAAACAATGCGCGCCAGCTACTGCACATTTTTATGGAAACATCGCGCTTGTCAGCGGAATCACTAAATATACCAAACGGGCTTCTCGCGCGCGCATGACTAAATCACTCGGACAACCTTGCGCACGTGCTGTGGGGAAACGATCCTGGTCAAATTATCCGTGCGGGTCAATCGCGCGTGTCGGCCGCGGGCGCATGCAGAAATCTCCCCCAAACTCTCATCACAAATTGATGGACACCATCATCGTCATCGGCGTGATCAGCATTCGCGCCGTCATTGGTTATGCCGTCGTCCTTGTCACAATCGTCACCCGCATGGCTACTATCATCATCGTGTCTGTCGCATGTCGACGTCGCCATGGTACCGCGCCCGCCCGAACAACCGATTCGCATTGGAGCGCCCGCGCGTCAGCACGGCCTGCGACACGCATTGGGAAGACCCCCGCGGTCAACCGCGGTCGCGTCGGTCGCGCCAAGCCAGCTGGCCGCACTGCGCGCGAGCCTGCGCGCGCGAGCGCGGCCGCAGCGATGCGCCAGCAAGCGCCAATCACTCATCGCAATCGCCGACGCATGGGTTTTGCAAACCAAGACGCGGATGGGTGGGTCGGTGGGGTGATGTGCGCGAGCAGTTGAGTTGACACTTTCAGGCCCGGCAAGGCGCATAGCACCCCATTGAGATTGCAGCACGCACACGGCCCCACCAAGGTTGCGCAACGCAGGTTGCACAACATCTCTTGCACCACATAGATTGCACCACGCCGATTGCATTGCACCTGTTGCGCCTCATATACTGCTAGACAAGCTGTTGTGGGCCCACACTGGCGTATACACACGCACACATACATATACATGTACACAACACATATCTACATATATGTGTGTGTATGTAATATATATATATATATATATATATATATATATATATATGTATATACATATATATATATATATCAACGTAGATCGCATGGCCAGTCCATAGGACAGACTACACACAGATCGAGCGTGTTTCGCGCGCGCGCTCAAATTGCACCTGTCTTGTAGGTTACGCTTGGGGGGGTGGGGGGGGCCGTGACCGAATGAAAAGGAGCTATAAGTTTGTTGGACGCCAACGCGTTCGCCGCCGAAGGCGCAAACGGGTGGTCGGAGTAGGGCGAGGGCTGCACAACTACATACTAGTATACAAGTGGCGCGTGTGTGCCCAGGCTCATGCAAAAAACTGAAGGGACGTTTGAAGCAGGAGTGGAATGCAACAGCGAAGTCGCACTCGAGCGCAAGTGGGGTTGCCACACCTTGCGATGTGTGTACCAGGGCCCCCCAGGAAGCCTCAGGAGACCCGACTTGGATACCAGAAGAGGCTCCAGGAGGCCCCAGGGTTTGCAAGTGTTGTGTGTGTATGTGTGTGATGTGTGTGCTCTGTGTTGAGCGTGCTTTGTGTGCGCTGTAGGTGTTGTGTGTGTTACGTTTGTCTAGCGTGTGATGTGTTGGGCGTGATTTGTGTCTCTGTGTGTGCATGTAGTTCTGAGGCCCCAGGAGGCCCCAGGAGGCCCCAGGCGGCCTCAGGAGGCCCCAGGAGACCCCAGGAGGCTTCAGGAGGCCCCAAGAGGCTCCAGGAGGCCGCAGGAGGCCCCAGGAGATTTCAGGAGACCCCCCAGGAGGCTCCGAGGCGGGGTCTGGGGTACCAGAAGGTTCAGAAAGCCCAAGGCCTCCAGGAGGTTCCAGGAGGCCCCCAGGAGGCTCCGAGGCGGGGTATGGGGTACCAGAGAAAACGTCGGGGCTCGATTTTGGAAGGATGTTTCAGACGAAACCGCCATTCTCTGAGAATCGGGGTCAAACTTATTGAACTTATCATGTGTGTTTGAAGGTTTTATGTTAGAATGTTGGATTCCCCATGTGTTTTTGGACCCGGACGTCACGATCTGGGTGAGGGGTGCCACCGATTTTCAGATTTTCGAGGATGTCCCGAGCGAAACGGCCAGAAACATCGCGGACGCGGCGCCCCGCGTACGCATTAATGGCCTCTGAGCTCTACTCCCTCGGAGAGGTGCGTATGAGAACATGCATTTAAGCATCTGTACAACTATACCTGCATTTAAGCATCTGTTTCCCCCCGCCCGCTGCTACCCCCCCCCCCCCAGACCAAAAAAGCCCCAGAGAGCCGCCTTGGAGCTTCCTTGGTGGCGGGCAAGATCCTGGGGAAGCCATGTGGGCCACTGGAAATATCTGGTGGGCCCCTGGAGGCCTCTTTGGGGCCCCTCGGGGGAGCATGGAGGGCCTGCTGGGGGCCTTTTGCGAGGCAGGTTGGGGATCTTGGTGGCCGTCTTGCGGGGGGCGCACCCGAAGCCCCCCTCTTGGGCCCCTCTTATGGCATCTTTGGAGCCCCTTGGGCAGTCTTGGGTGCCAATTCGGCCGTCCTGGGGCGGTCTTCGGTCGTCTTGGGTGCTCTTAGGCTGTCTTAGAAGGGTCTTGGAGACCTCTTACGCCGTATTCGGCGGTCGGAACATGGGAAAACAGAGAACACACAAACCCTCGAAACGAGCTTTTGGGGAGTCCATGAATTGTGCCTTTGGGGGCCCCCTTGGGGATCCTCTTTGGGTGCCTTTTGAAATGTCGAGGGAGCTTCTTGGGCCGTCTTGAGGCAATCCTGGGGGTCTTGCAGCTCTCTTCGGACATCTTGGAGGGCATTCGGGGAATTGAGGAGCCCCCGAAGCCAATGGAAAGAGCCTGTGTAGGAGGCTCCAGGGATCCTGGTTGACGCAGGTCCGTGCCTGAATTTATGCTTTTCCCTGTCCTCTTGCCCCCATTCCCCTCGTCTCAGGTCCCGCCGAGAACTCGTGTGGGGTACGTCCAGGGCTTGTTTCCAACATCCGCTTGGGCGCCTGGATAAAGAGTTGCTGCTTCTCTCTTTCGCCTCCTCCCCCTGTCCTGATCAGCCAGCGCGGTGTTTCGCCTACTTCTGCTGGCGATTGCTTCAGCTTGATTGCTTGCCCACGCGCCTGACGGCGTATGGCTTGTGAGTGAATGACACGAGCGCCTGCTTGTTTTCACCCGCCAGTGCCCTAAGCGGCCATCCCTTCGCGGGCATACAAAATTGGCCTTGGCCTTGGGTCCCCCTGGTGGACTGCGGCCCCAGGCCCCAGGGCCGGGTTTCCGGTATATGTGAAATGCGCTATGCATTCAGAGTAGCGGTGGAGGAAAAAGTGAAGATCGGCTATTTTCAGCTATGTTACGTACTGTCCCGTCCTATCGTGGATGTGTTGAGACTCAACAAGTGTCTGCCTCGCCTGCTGCTCATCAGTTGAACCCACGAGGCAATCTACACACCAAGCCGGGCAAGGGCGCCGCGCGTTCCACAGGAGACACATATTCAGAAAATGCTGAGCAGACGAAGGCTGAGTCGCCTATATACCGAGCATAGAAGACGAAGTCGCAAATAATGCCTGGCCAAACTCAATCGTCTCTGGGGACCTCCTCCCCGATGTCGACGAGGTAGCCCACCTCCCGCAGCTTCTTGAGCACCGTGTCCAGCAGGGCCTTCTCGCGTGAGGCCTGCGCCCCCGTCTTCCTCTGCAGCACCACCAGCAGCGACCGCAGCGACAGGGCCCCGAACGCCTTCTCCAGGGTCCGCAGCTCCCGGGCCTTGACCTTTGAAGGGGCCCTGGGACACACAAATAAATACACACAAATAAAACAACATCCCGATATTTCCCCATATTTTCTGGGTTTATGTCTTCCCCCCCACTTCCCAGATTTTCCTATATTTTCTGGGGAATCGACCTTGCCGCCCGCCTCGGCGGCGCCGCCTCCGCCCTGCGCGGCGCACTGGCTCGCGTGCGCCCAGAGGGTGTCCGTCGGCAGGCCCAGCGTGGCCAGCTTCTGCTCGAGGACGGGCAGCGAGATGGTGAAGCACTGGGCCACCGACGCCCCCTCCAGGGTCTTCCGGTGCTGCCTGCCGAGGTGCACGGGCCGGGTCGGGTGCTGGTAGTGGCAGAACCTGCCGGGAGGCACTCGCCGCGCTCGTCGGGCGGCGCGTGGGCCAGGCGCCCCCACGGAGCAAGAGAACGACGGACGCGTCCGTGGTGAGTCGATGCTTTTGACCGGGGTGGTAAAACAGGGTGGGTGATCCGTGGGGCGGGTCGTCGGCGGGTCGCGAGGGTCGGAGGCGAGTCTAAAGAAGCCCGCTGCGGGGGCCACATGTTCGGCACGAGTCAAACAAGAAACTACAACACACCATTCGTGCATCATGGGTGGACCGCGGGGCGGTCCGCGGGTTAGGTCGCGGGGCGGGACGCGGGGCGGGCCGCGGGGTGGGTCGCGGGGCGGGTGGCGGCGGGGCCGCAGGGGGGGCCGCGGGGCGAGTCGCGGGCGAGCCGCGGGGATGCGTCGCGAGACGGGACGCCGGGCGAGGACGACGACGACGACGAAATACCGACAGCGTAGCCCAGCTTCAGACACGCTCCTAGATATAGTGTCGGACGGTGCGGCACACGCACTCTCATATGGCCGTGCCGCGGCCAGTTGGTCCGGTGGTGGAACTCGGCTTGGGAAGCGCAACGGGGGAGGGGGAGGATGGATCAGAATTGGGCGTTCGACGACGGCATCCTGCCTGCACTCGTTGCCGTTCGTGCACTGGCCCTGCGAGAAGTACAGGCACGGCCGCACGCACATCTCGGGGTGGCCCATGCTCCCGGCGTTGTTGTGGCAGGCGCTCTCGTAGGGGTCGGCGAGGCCGGGGGGCAGAGCGGGGGCCCCCTCGACCAGCAGGGTCCGCGGCAGGTCGTCCTCTTGGGGGCACCCAGAAAATCCACAAACACACAGACGCCCGGAGGCCCGCGCGGAATCCGTGGATCTGCGCTGGGCACCCCTCCTTGCACCATAAGTTGGAGGGGGGAAGGAGAAGGAGGAGGAGGAGGAGGAGGAGGAGGCCGAGGAGGAGGAGGAGGAGGAGGAGGAGGCCGAGGAGGAGAAGGAAGAGGAGGAGGGGGCACGTGGAGCAAGCCAGGGGGGGCGCCAGAGGCGCCGCCTCCGCGCGGACCTCCGAAAGTATATATGTTTATGCTTTTGCTGTCCTTCGATCCTCTGCGGGGGGGGTGACTTCGGGCCCAACGGGGTTCTCGACAACGCCGGCAAGAGCATCCACCCGCCGCTGGCCGCGGAGCTCCGCCGGAGTGCCCTCCGCGTCGGCCAGACCGGGCCCGCCGATGGCGTCTGCAAGCCCGTCCTGGTCCACCGTATCGCCTTCTGGGTCGCCACCGTCGTCCACGCGGGGCACCATGCCAGTCGCGCTCTGACTGGACTGGGACGCGGACGCGACGTCCGCTTGCGGCAAGGAGCCGACCTTCGCCCTCAAGAGCACGTCGGCGACCAGGCGGTTCGTCACCCGCACCTCGGGCTGGTCGTCCACGTGAGCCACCGCGTGCTTCACGTTCGCGTTGGTCGCGCGCCTCAGGGCCCGCATCGTCTCGGAGTACATCTCCGGCACCGCCTCCACGATCTGCAGCTTGGCGTCCTTCAGCGCCCGCCTGCTCACCCCCGCGTTCTCCGGCAAGCTCCGCAAGACGCGGTCGCAGTGTTTGGCCGCCTCCCGCTTGGACTCTTGCACGGCCTGGTCGACCGCCTCACCGGTGACCCGCCCGCCCCCACGGCGGGGACCACGAGGCTCTGAGAAAACGAAGTGACGATGCTCGTGTGAAACAGCAAGCAACCTTGCCGTCGCTCGGACGTCCATTTCCCGTTCATGTTTCGGTTTCGTGCGTGTTTTTTTTCCTCCATGGTCCAGGATGGTCCTCGATGGTTCTCGCCGACAAACAATGCACACGTCCGAGCGATGCCAAGCCAACAAGCAGGCAAGCACGAGCGGCGTCAGAGGAAGCCTCCATCAGTTCGAGCATCGGGAAATCAAGCACTGGCCATGCAGGCGTGCAGAACCAGTCTTGGCAACGTAAAGAACTGCTTCAGCGATACGAAGTTGTGTCAGCTCACAGTGAAGGCACGAGTTCCCTTGCATTCCCCCTCGTGGCCGTGCCCCGCTCGATCTGCAGGAGCAATCACGATGAATGGTTCGTCCCAATCGCGCATGCACAGGCCCATACACCAGACGTCGCGATTGGTTCGTGTCGTCGGTCCTCAGACATCTGGACCCCTTGGCATGGATCGTTTTTTCAGCCCAGGTTGTATCGATGGTCCTGTGGGACCCTTGACGGCATTTCAGATGTCCAAGCCGAAGGAAAAACAGGCATCGCGACATTTTGGCCGTGCCGCTGCATGCTCGAAGCTCGTCCAGCCCGCGAGGACTCGATAGGCGACCGTGCATCTTTCGGTCTCGTGCGTGCGTGTTTCCGCAAGAGGATCTCACATGATCTTCGACTGCCCTCGTCGATGAAGAACGCACACGTCCGAACAATGCCGACCCGGAGTGGCGCGCCCCTGGCGCCCGGAGGAACAGTGCATCTGCCCCCCCCCGCGGTGCACGAGCCGCCCGGGGCCCCGCCCGTCGCCCCAAGGCCCCCCGCCGCCAGGCGCGGGCCTCCGGGTCGATACCAGCACTCCTGCCCTCCATCCCCGCCTCTCTCCCGCATCTGCCAACACACTCGTCATCATCATGTTCATCATCGTCATCATCATCCTGATCTAACCCTGAATCAGCAAACCCAAGGCAAACCCTGCGCCCCGCGGATCCTCCCTGCTCCCCCACGCTGGCAACTCGGGACGTGCCCGGGAGGGGTCGGTGACCAAAGGCAGCCACACCATCCTCACGCGAGCATCAAGGAACCATTCGCAGAGCAGTAAAAAACACCCTGGCCAGAAAATCCTGTTTTTTGTCCGTCTGCTCCGCAGTGCACGGGCACAGTCCGAACGGCCACTCCTACGTCGAAAAAATTCACCACACTACCACCACATATGTCACCACACTCGTGTGCCGAGGATTCGACAGACCCGAACGCCCATCTCGCCAGATTCATGCGCCCTGACCACCAGCACTTTTAGAACCCATCCAGTCGCAGCTCATGGCGCGGCCAGCGCGTGGGCCCAAAACAATGACAAGGAGGCCACAGGAGGTCATGATAGGCCAGAGGAATCGCTCGGAGGTCACCAGCTGGCAACATGAGGCAGTAGGGTCCGTGTGAGAGCATGGGCATTCATGAGAGGCCACAGGCGGCGATGCAAGCCCACATGATGAGTTCACGTCACACGCCGCAGTAGTGTCAACGCGGGAGTCTCACGTTGCATTAGAAAACGCGAGGTACTGTGGCTTTTCGTGCAAACAGCATCGACACCGTGAACCGAAGGAACGCACGGATATCATTCTGGGAAGCGCAAGCGTGAAGCTCGGGTTCACGCTGCTGAAGGACACAACTTCGAAACACACGGAACGGAGCACGCCTCCAGCTCCAAGTCCGCGCCTGCCTCGCTTCCACAGGTCTCTCGCGCTTGGATGAATACGTCTGGCTGTGGTTGGTATGCAGCGGCGGCGATATCGCGCGACCTTCATGCAATGCGCGAGCGTTACTACCAAACGAGGTACAGCCCGACCTAAGACATGATGACACTCTTCAAGGACATGAGGCAAGAACATGTCAAGGATACCCTCCCCCAATATTCACAAGAACATTAAACAAGCACGAAGAACATCAGGGCACCCTCCCCGAATCGACCTCAACCTTATACCTCGGTCCGACCGTACTCCCAGAAAACGCACCCCGCCTCCACGACCGCACGTCATGGTGCCCTGTGTCAGACCCAGCCCCGTGCAGACCCCGTCGTCTTTTGCTCCTTCGGGCAAGCTCAGGAGGGCGCCCCGGCGACGGGGCACCCATCCGCGCCATCGACTGACTACACGCCAGACGCCTAAACCAGACCCGAAGACCCAGCTTTCGGGTGGGGGGGGGGTGCGGGTTCCAGATGTGTCTTTGTTCAGTGCTCCCCGACGCCCCCCCTCCCCCACCACTGGGAATGGAGGGCCAAGTGGGGCCCTCGGGGTGGGATGTGGCGGCTTCGTGGGTGGCGATCGACTGCGAGGGGCAACGTCAGGGAGGGACCAGCGCAGGGAGGGAGACCACGAGCTGGAGTCGGCGACCCCTCGCCGACTGACGTCGGAGAGGGGCCCCCGACGGAACGTCCGAGCGGTCCCCGGCAGGGCGGGCTGCGCCCGCTCGATCCTGGAGGCCTCGGGCGGGCGGTGCCAGGGGGTGACCCACATCGGGGGCGAAGAGAAGGGCCCTGAATGCTGGGCAGGGACCGACGGTCCCGGCATTTCCATAGGCCTACCACGAGAGGCTCTCAGAACCCAGACACGTTCGAAGAACAAGAACAGCGTTCTCAGAACATGAGCCCGATGTGTTAAAACAGGACAGTCCGGGCCAGAAATGTTCTGAGAACATGTCGTGCAGACCACAGCAGGTTCTTAGAGAATTGTTTGGTAGGCCTATAGGCGAGCCGGGACGCTTCGCCAATGCTTGATGGGCTCTTCAGGGCCCCATTAGAGGTTGTGGATGCCACGACAATGGACACCCTAACAGTCCTATCATTAAGTTTAAAATGGGTTTAAAATTGTCGGCAACTGATCTAAACATGTTTCAAACATGCTGTAACGTGTTGAACACATGTTCAGCATCTGGAAAGTATTTGGCAACATGCCTCCTCTCCATCGATCGCCCTCCACAACTTTGGGGGCCCTTTTCTTCACCCCCGAGCTGGGGCACCTCCCAACGCCGCCCGCCCGAACGCCAGCGCCCGAGCCTGGCCCCAGCGACGAGAAGACGTGGCCAGCGCCGGGGGCGGAGGCCCTGCGAGCGGGCGCCGCAGACGGGCGCGCTCCCTCCGCTCGGAACTCCCGCAAGGCGAGGAGACCAGGCGACGCTCTCTCTGTGCGCTCTCCGTGCCTCTCGGGCGGGTGGCGCCGGGGGGCGCGACCCGCGCGGGGGCTGAAGGCACAGTGGCCCTCGAAGGGCCTCCTTGGGGCACCAGCCGCGCCCACAGGTGGCCCCTTTCGGGCCCCTTCGGGCCCCCCTGCTTCGCCCCACGTCTGGGCCACTCCCCGGTCCCGCCCGCCCGAGCCCGTCTCGCCGTGCGCCCCGGTGCAGGGAGGGGCCGAGGAGCACCACGGCGGCCGGCGCGGGGGGGCCCGGCAGGCGGGACAGACAGCGCCTGGACGAATGGACGACGCCCAGGAGGCCGGGCTCGCGGGCGCCGCTCGGCGGTGCGACGCTCGCGGCAGGAGGGCTCTCGGCGGCCGCCCGCCTCCGGCCGCAGGTCGCGTCGCAGCGGCCGCGCCAGCGGCATCGTCTGCGGGGGGGCGGGGGGCATCGGCGCCCTCCGTCCCCCCGCTGCGCGCAGGCGCTGCGGGCGGCACGGCTGGTGTTGCCAACCCAGCCTGGCACAGGCGCTGACGTTAGCAGCGGGCGGCGGCCGGGGCCCTCCTTGGGGTCACCAGGTCCAGGTGCCAACAGAGGCGGAGGTGTGCGGGTAGCTCGGGCAGCCCGTGGGGCCTTGGAGAGCGCAGAACAGGGCCCGCAAGAGGGCCCCAAATGGCCAAAGGGGCCCCAAAGACGAGCCCATCAGGCCCCCAAAACATCCCGAAGACGCCCCACAAAGGCTTCCAAAACGGCCTGCGAAGCCGTCTGTCGGCCTCAAAGCGATCTAAGAAAGTCCAAGAGGCCCTCAAGAGACCCCAAGAGGCCCCCAAGAAGCCCCGAAGATGCTCCCAGATACCCCTCAAAGGCTAGAGGCTAGCAAGAGACTTCCAAGAGGCCCCCAGGAGGGCCGAAAGCGGCCCCTTCTGGGCTTGGACACTCTCAGCACCAAGACTGCCCATTAAAGCCCAATGACGAGCCAAGAAGCCGTAGGCTCTCACGACGTCCCCCAAGGTAGCCCTCCGCACCCCCCCCCCACACTCCTCCCAACTCGTTCCCATTCCTTCCCATCCATTCCCGGTCCAGGCAAGTTTGTGGTTGCGACAAGGTTGCGTCTCTGGCGCGTTCTTTATATTCACTGCGGAGGCGATCGTTTGTTCCGTTCTGCCTTCAGTGCGCGCCCTTGGGCAATCGACCAGAGAACTGCGCGCCAGGCTGATGTGACAACGTCGAAAACTACGAGTGGCACGGTTGCCCTGGTTCTTGCACGAGGGAGCGGCGAGGTAAAAGAGTATCGTGGGGGCCAGGTGCAAGGAAGTGGGGAGGGGTCCGAGATGGCGAATGACGACGACGACGACGACGACGACGACGACGACGACGACGACGACGACGACGACGCCCGAGTGGGCGAGGGAGGCGGACGACGTCGACCAGGCCCAGGCGCCAGGGACCCGGGGACCCAGGGCCCAGGGCCCGGGAACCCAGGCCAGGGACTGGGGGCCGGGGCCCGAGGACCGGGGGCCGGGGGGCACGAGAAGAGCGGGCCCGAGGACCGGGGGCCGGGGGGCACGAGCAGAGCGGGCGGCGAGCTCCAGAGAGCGCGGCGGCGCCGGCAGGCCGAGACGCCCTGTGGGGGGGGGCGGGCGGGGCAGCGAGGCCAAGAGGAGGTCAGGGCAGGGGGCTCAGAGGAGGCCACGACGACACGACGACGACGACGACGACGACGACGACGACGACGACGACGAAAACAAAGCAATCCGACGGCTTTTTGCTCGGGAGGGGTGCAGGGGGGGCCAGGGGAGGTCCAGGGAGGCCGAAGCCAAGGCTAGCAGTGGCATCAAGTAGTTCCGCTACGCCTTGCGCGCACGATACCTCGTCAATACTCCCGTCTCGGACCTGAGGCCTCTGGTTGGTACGCTGTACGTGCGGCGCGTCGAGACTGGAGGGTGGAGAGGTCTAGAAATGAAATGGGGAGCGGTGCTGAATGTAGTGAGGGAGGGCGACTGGTGAATTAATGGAAATGAGACTGTCTCGAGCTGGCTCCGTTGCAACTTGCTTGTCCTTATTGTAATGCCATTTGTCGCACCATGTTGCGTGGAATCAGATTGGCTGCTCTGGCCTTTTGAGGGGGACTGGGAGGAGAACGAAACCGAACAAAAGGAATCGGAGGAAGACGAACAGGGGGAGGATACGGAAATGGAGGAGGAGGAGGAGGAGGAGGACAACCATGGGGGACTTTGCGTCACCATCTCGACTTTGCCCCTGTCACCCCGTGATTTGCGGGGCTTCAGTGGAATGTCCAGCGCCTTTTGCCCCCTCCTCCCCTCTCCTTCCACTCCCTCCCGCCTTGTTCCTCTCGCATCCCTCTTCCCTCCTCCCCTTCCTCCTACTCGCGTTGCTCGCCTTTCCCATGGGTGGGCTACGGAACCAATGATCATGGTGAATGTGTCTCTGCGAGTGCGGCGCAAACCCGTGCCAGGCGTTTAATTCGCCCACCCATGCACCATCCAGTATGCCATGACTCAACCTTGCTCTGTGCACCAGCGGCAGGGCCCCTGGCCCTGGGGTGCCCACTTCTCCTAAAAACGGCCCCCATCCCAACGCAATGGCCTTCCCAGGCTCCAGGACCCGCCTTGAGGCCTTTGGATATCTCTTCCCGCCTCACGAGGCCTCCGAGCTGGTTCAAGGGGGACGCCTGCGGGCCGCCAAGAAGGCCCAAGCTGGCCCCAGACGTTGCACGGTGATTCCACGGCGGCCCCCAGCGGCCACAAGATGGCCCAGTGGAGCTCCCAAGAAGCCCCCCAACAAGAGAACCCAGAGAGCAAAAATCTCGTAGAAACAGTGTTTCGGTGCTTCAGTCTTTGGCTCATCTCATGCTCTTCTCTTGCGGATGGCTCGAGGCAGCCCCATGACGCCCAGGTAAGTCCCCAGGACGGCCCCCAGCGGTCCCCAAAGGTTTCAAGGCAGCCTCAACAGGAAGATCACCAAGAGACCCCGGCACTCCAAGCCAGCCCACTTCATATTCAAGATCCCTCCACGTCGGCCCTGAACAGCTCCAAAGTCCGCATGATCCCCAGCACGAGGAGGCCGTCGACCAGAGCGAGAAACGAGAATCGAGGACAACCGAAAGAGACTGGGGGACTTGGAGGACGCGGTAAGGCAAGGCATGGAATGAGCTGGTCCGAAAAGCACGTGCAGGTAGCAACGCTCTGGCCTGCGCGAGAAGTCCAGCGCGCGCGATGTGCATATATATATATATATGTGTATATATATGTGTATGTATACACACAAAGATGGAAACATTGTTACTAGATCGATAGATCGACGAGAGATTGTCCGGTGGATGGGGATGGAGACGGTTGTCCAGATTGTTGTCCCGTCGTTGCCTCCACCCATCCCCCACTCCCCCACCCCCAACCTCAATATCGGCCTTTGGACAGTCTTGTACATATATCGGTCACACGATTTACCTTTGACCTATCGGTCCTACTGCCCACTGGTCTATCGACCTCACTAACAGTTTTCGGCGATACCATATATCGGTCGACAACCACGAAACAACGACAAGACAACCACATAACAACAACGAGACGACCACAGGACATCCACAGGATAACCACGGGCCAAACACAAAACAACCACGGGAGAACCACTGGACACCCAAGGGGCAACCACGGGATAACCACGGGACAACCACAGGACAACGTCGGGACAACCGCAGAACAACTGCAGGGCAACTAAGGAACCCCACGCCACAACCACGAGACAACCGCGGGACAACCGCGCGCCAACCACTCGACGAACACGGGACAAAGTTGGGATACTTACAGGACAACAGAGAGACAACCGCAAAACAACCACATGACAAACGGCAGGACAACCATCGGGACGTCCGCGGGACAACCGCGGGACACCCGCGGGGTGAGCGAGGGACGATCGCGGGACAACCGCAGGACAAGCACAAGACAACCACGGAACAACGACAGGGGACAAGCGCGGGACAAGCACGAGAAGGCCCATGCGGACCGGAGCCCAACTGGTGTTGTCGCGACCTGGGCCCAAGAACTCGCGTGTTGCCCAGGCGCACGATGCGGACCGATATCGAATGCGACACCGTGGGGGGCATCGGATAAGGAACCATTGGACAATGACTCCAGGGTCTGGAAGCTGGTGGAACTCCAATCGTGGATCAGCCATGCATATCTCCGCCGCCCTCATCAGATAAGGAGCCCTCCAGTGTCTGAAGCCTCCTGAAAACATCCCTTGACCAACACCTCCAACGTACCCGGGTTGGGTCTCCGCCAAACTCAGGTCAGGCCCCCGAACTTCCGAACTCCCGACGGGCCTTCGGCCTCTGCAGCCACGGCGCCTGGGGTCCGGCGGCAGTCACCGGAGAGGCCCGCGTATCTGCTCCAGCTCCTCGGGGATGGTCCACAATTGATCTACCACCTCTCGGCGGCAAGCCCGGGGGAAAAGCGAGAAAGAGAATGCCGTGTCAGAAAGCTCGAAAGTCCCCTGGCCTTCTGAGAAGTTTTCTGAGCCTTCCCCGAAGACACAGAAAACATCTCAGAAGGCCCGAGGCCGTCTGAGAAGCCCCGTCACCTTCTGAGAAAGCTTTTCCCTTCTCACTGCCCCCTTCGCCCGCCGCCAAACCTCATGTCTCTCAGACTTGGAGTTCTTAAAGCCCTGCATGATGGTGTTCAGCTTCGACCGTATTGTGTCGCTAGCCTCCGATATCTTCGAGTCGAACGAGCTCCTGATGATCTCTGGGATCGCCCCCAACTGATCGATGGCCACGTCTACGACGGCGTCGTCCCCGCCACTGCTGCGGATGGCCCTCTGCACCAGAGCCAGATCGGTCTCCACGCTGTCGGCGAGGCTGTTTGCCTTGTTCTGCACCACGCTGTTCAGCTGTTCGGGGATGCTGTCAATCGCCTCCGCTGCGGCCGACAGGCGCTGCTTGAAGCTCGCCCTCTCTGCTTTGGCGTGGATCCTCGAACGAATTTCGGCTCTGCTGGTGCCAAAGGGACCTTCGCCAGATACCACCTCATGGGAGGCCGCGTTGCCAGAAGCCTGCCCCTGCTTCTGCATGGCGCCGCTCGGTATGGCCGCAGCTCCCTGCCTGCACTTGCTCACACACGGCTCGCTCATGACGTCCACCATCGGCCGCCTGATCCAGCCAGCCTTTTCGACAGAGCCCCCGCTGTCGCTGCCGCCAGCTTTCGTATGCTGCAGCTCGTGCTGGAGCGGGCAGTCCGACTTGCTCGCCTTCTGCACGAGCGGGGAGGCACTGCTTGGGGCCATGGAGGCCCGCACCTGCTCCGGGTACGACGCGCCCTCCTGGGCATGAACCAGCTGCACCTCGACACGGCCCGGCGGGCACTGTGAGTTCGGGGTCTCGGCCTTGACGCGAAGCAAACACTCGGCCACCATCTCGTTGGCCAGCTGGTTTGGGACTGGCACCGGCAGCTCTGGGTCCTGGTAGGCCTTCACAGCCTGCTCAACCGAGGCGGAGGCAGCAGACATCGCTGCCAGGATGGTCGGATGGATCGTGCGTGGCACCTGCTCGCAAATCCGTGCTTTCATGGAGCTCACCTTCTGGCTGCTTGTACTCCAGCGCTTCTCCTCAAGCGTCGCGATGAGGGAGTCGCACATCCGCGACACCTCCACCTGGGAGTCCAGCACCGCCTGCTCCACGGCCTCGGCGGCTATCTGCTGCACCTCCCTGGGGATCATCCTCATCTGGTTGACGACCTCCTTGTCTGACGAGTTCTTGTCCCCCAGGCTCTTCATGACCTCCCCGACCCTCATCCAGAACAACTCTGTGGCCCTCGCGATGCTGGCCTCGAAGGTGGCCTGGATCCTGCCTGGGATCTCCTCGAGAAGAGGCCTCCCACATCGGGCCCGAGCAGATGGGGTCGGAGGGTCGCGCCGCATCGCCGATGCATCGCAGAAGGACACGGTGACATCGGCGATGGATCAGCGCCGTCGGCGTGGAGAAACACGGGCTCCAAACCAAGCCGCGCCGCCAATGCGCGGGCGATGCGGCGCGGACCTCCAGCCCCCACCTGCGAGGACTCCGCGGCGGGGAGGCCCAGGTCCTCGAACTCGCAGATGGCGCTGTCCAGGGCGGAGGCCTCCCACTGCGCGTGCTCGGCCAGGGGCTGCGCGGGCGCGCCCCGCGCACCCCCCTCCGGCCGCGGCATCTCCGAGAGCAGGCTGTGGACCTCCGCCACCTCGCCCTGCACCTGGGCGACGAAACGCAACGGGCCCCACGCGAGATGGGCAAAAAAGGCCTTGCGCCGCGGCTCCACGCGGGCCGCCGGCGCGGCACGCCGCACAGGAGGCACGGGCAACTCACGGGCGACCCTGCGCGGGCAGCCTGCGCGCGCAATGTCGGCGCAGTCGGCCCCGTTTTCCTCCCGTCGCTCACCTGGGCCACGAGGTTCCTGCCGGGGCAGCGGTAAGACTCGGGTTCGGGGGGCTCGGGGTGGCCCGACGTGGCCGTTCAGAAAAGAACGAGACCCAATCTGAAGTTTGACGCGAGGTCCCGCTGCAGCCGTCCAACGACAACTGGCCCGTGAAAAGGCATCGGGGAGGCACTGACCCGTATCAAGGCAGACGCGGGTCAGGCAGGCTCTGCAGGGTCCTGCAGGATCCTGCAGGATCCTGCCGGATCCTACGCGCGATGGGTCAATGCATCCCTGGCCCTGCAGGATCCTGCAAGATCTTGCGCTCTGGCTGACCCCCGTTTGCATCGACCCCCGTCGCTTGAGCCCCGCACGCATCGGCAAACCCGAGCTCCAGCGAGCTCAGCGAACTCGAGTCGCCGCCGCCGCCGTCTGGGTCGCGGTCGTGGGCAACGACCGCCAAGGGTGAACGTGTTGGTTGTGGCCGCAATCGTCGCAATCGTCGCAATCTGAAGGAGCCCTGGGACACACAAATAGATACACACAAATACCTAAAAGGATACCCCATATTTTCCTATATTTTATGGGTTTCTATCTTCCCCCCCCGGTGCCCATATTTTCCAGCATTTTCCCGGGAATCGACGATTCATCGTGTCTGTGTGTTCGTCCTCCTCCTCTCCTCCCGACAGTCGTCGTCGTCGTCGTCGCCGCCGCTTCCTGGAGTGCTGATGCAGGAAGGCGCCCACGCCCTCCGGGATCGCGCGGATGGCCTGCGAGGCGGAGGAGGCCCCGCCCCCGCCCTCGGCCTCCGCCGCGTCGCCGCAGCGGCCGACGGCCAGCTCCACCACGCCGCGCCGCGCCGGGCGCGCCGCCTCGCCCTGGGCGCGGGGTGCACGGAGTCCGCGGGCGGCGGGTCCTCCTCCTCCTCCTCCTCCTCCTCCTCCTCCTCCTCCTCGTCCTCCTCGTCCTCCTCCTCCTCCTCCTCCTCCTCCTCCTCGTCTTCCTCCTCCTCCTCCTCGTCCTCGTCCTCGTCCTCCGCGGGCGGTGGGTGGGGTTGGAGGCAACTGCTGGGAGGTCTTCGGCGGAAAGATTCTGAAGGAGTAAACCCCGTTTGGGGGCTGTCACGCCGGAGTGGGCCTCGGAGTGAGCGGGATTAAACTGGATGAGGCGGGATTAAGCGGGATTAAACGGGATTAAGCGGGATTAAACGGGATTAAGCGGGGTGCACGGAGTCCGCGGGCGGCGGGTGGGGTTTTGGCAGGTGGGTAGCTTTCGGTCGGGCATGTCCTCCTACAGGCGGATAGTCGAGGAGAAATGGAACAAAAAGTCAAGAGATATTCAACAAGGATCAACAGAAATCAAAGGAAAAGCGTCCCTAGACTATGCTTTCACTATGTTGGGATACTCTTCCTGTGGAGGGACACGCCCGACTTACCCCTGGGCGCGGGGTGCACAGAGTCCGCAGGTGGTGAACGGGGTTGGCGGGTGGGTAGCTACTGTTGTTGAATAAGCGCAGCTGGTAGGATTGCACAGGTCTTCCGCAGTCGTGATGGCTAGGCGTGCCAGGGTGGGAACCCCTCCAGCGAAGGCACGCCCAGCCGGGCTAAGGGTGCACCCTGACACCGTAATTGCTGGATTGCCTGATTGTTGCGCGGTTGAGGCAAGACCTGAGGGGTCTTTAGTTTTGGACGTGGGTTGGTATCGATCGCCTAACTCAAGGCAGCAACGGAAACCAGCGAGGGCCCGAGAGAGAAGACGAACGAGCGAGGACCGGAGGGAAGGCGCAAAGGGCGGAGGGACAGCGACCGAGCGAAGAACCGAAGCCCGAGACCCGCAGAGACCGCCAGGAAAGGCTATATATACGCGGGGCTTCGGCTCGTGGGGAGCCTCTGGGCACCGCGCGCATATACACGGAGGTATCTGGGCCCTGCCCCATGGGCTTCACAGGAGCGCCACAGGACAGCGCGCACAGTAGGCATTTTTCCGGCCGGTTCTGCGGGCGGCCGGTTGTGAGCGTTTCGAGATTCGGCGCTTCGACATTGGGCGGAAAGGGGGGGGGATGGGGGAGTTTGGCTCCGGACCTCTGCTTAATGCGTCTGTTTGCAACGGTGCGCCCCATGGGGGAGACTCCACCTGCTCGAAACAGGCGCCAAAAAACAGCCAAGATCGACTCCAGGGGGTTGGGGAGGGGGGTGGGCGAGAGCCCGCGCCGATCGGAAAAACAATGGATAAGAAAACGAGGACGTGTTGCCAACTATGTACGCTGTGTTTGGGCCGCCATCTGCGACTGAGTGGTGGATGGACATGACACGGTACCGTCGACATGTGTTCCTGGCCCCGAACCTCGGCGGCGCCGTCGCCGCGCGTGGCGCCCGAGGCGCTCTGGGAGTCGCTCTCCCAGTCCCTGGACAGGAGCTGCCGCATCTTCTCCCGGCTGTTGGAGGCCCAGGCTTCCTCCATCTGCTTCGACAGGGCGGCGACGCACGAGCGGTCGGCGTCGAAGAACGCGGCACGCACGCTGGAGGACGACTCGCTGCAGGGCTCGCTGGAGGGTCGGGGGCTGAGCGAGCTCTGTCGCTCGGCGTCGTCGTCGCCCAGCTCGATGAACGTGGACCTCCACGAAACGCCCTGCCTGCCATGCCCCGCCTTCTCGCGGCTCTGCCTCTTCTGCTTTGCGGGCGCCCTGGCGGAGGCGCCGCCGGCCTGGCCGAGCGCTGGGCTCAGCGAAGCCCCGGAGGAGTCCGCCATCGCGCGGCTCTCCTCGACGTCCCGAAAGCCAGAGTGCCGGCCAGACCGAAGGCATGCGTACAGTCCCCGCGCTGGCACGAGAGGCGCCAGGCAAGGAGTGGAGGTGCTTTTCTGGCCCTCGACATCGAAGGGTCTCCCGACCTGGATCTCGGAAGTGGCCTGGAATCCAGAGCCCCTCCTCCACCCTAAGTGCTTCTCGTTTCAGCGTCTCGACTGTGCCAGGGGCCATCCTGAGATCCCGTTCGAGCCCGCCTCGCCCCTTCGAGCCCGCTTCGCACGTCGGCCACGGGGCGGGCTTCGAGCCAGGACCCCCCTCGAGCCCCTGGTGGAGCTGCGCTCCTCGGGCGCTCGGGCTTTCGAGAGAAGGCGCCTCAAGGATGTGCAGGATGCATGGCCCTTCGCGCACGAGCCATGGCCCGAAGCCGCGGGGAGCCGCCGACCCCGAGCGGAACCTGCCGCCGAGTGCAGAACGGCGGCGGAGAGCGAGAGAGGCAGGCGGCAGGCTGCAGGGGATGCTCTGCTCTGCGCTAATAGCGCGCACGGGGGTGATGGCCCGATGTGCCACCACCACTACCATAGGTAGGCGAGGGAGGAGCAAGAGAAGGAGGAGGAGGAGGAGGAGAAGGAGGAGGGGGAGGAGGAAGAGGAGGGGGAGGGGGAGGGGGAGGGGGAGGAGGAGGAGGAGGAGGAGGAGGAGGAGGAGGAGGAGGAGGAGGAGGAGGAGGAGGAGGAGGAGGAGGGATCTCCCTATTCTCCCTTCTCCCCCGTCCTACCGATGGTAGTGGTGGTGGAGAATTGGCCCATCAGGGCGGGAGGCGCATTGGGAGGGGGCCTGCTGAAAAAAGGCGGAAGCCTCTCAGAAGGCAGAGCTCCTCTCGGCAGTGCCTGCGTGCTTCTATGGAGGGCTCTCAGAAGGCTTCGAAGTCCCCCCTCCCGGCCCTCCGAAGAAGGCCGACCCCCACGCTCCACCCCATGGCCCGCGCAGCCAAGGGGGGAGCACGACCTACGAATGTTCGGATTCCTGCCCACTGATATCCACAACCGTCTGCCATCGCTCGCTATGGATCACCTCCCTGTGTCGGCGCGTGCTGTCTTGGGACTTGCTGAAGGCGAGCACGCTCAGCAAGCCAGCCAACCGAATGCACGAATCACGACGGCGCCGGCCTCTGCCTCCTGGCCCCCCGAGGCGGCAGCACTGCATCCGAAGGGAAACGACCGGAAATGATAGAAAGCCTGACCTCAGGTCCGGCCTACCGTCTAAGCAGACAGGTGAGCAGCGATTCAGGGCTGGGATGCGAAGAAGAGCAGCAACAGCCCGCGCCAATCGAACGGCGTTGCCTCCGAATGGGCAATTGCGTATGTGGAAGGAGCGCGGAACTACGAATACTCACATGCTTTTCGCGTCCAGAGCCCCGAGAGCCCCCCAGGCCCCCTATGAGGCCCCCAAGATCCGTCCAAGAGGCCCCACCAGGCCTCCCAAGAGACCCCAAGAGGCCTCTAAGAGGTATCTCGTCCACGGAACATGCACGACGATGGAGGCTTAGGCCGAAGGACACTGAACGATGGTACTAGGAAAGGGGAAGAAGTCTCGATCCCTTCCCCTGGGGCAGCGCGTGGTCCAGGACCCGCGCGTGATGGCACGCATCGCCCGAAAACGGCCCCCTGGAGGCCGAGATGAAGGAGAAACCCTGGGGACTGAATAGGCAACCAATCCGCTGGAGGTCTGAGCTACACTTTTGGCCCCCATGTGCTTATTGCAAGACTCTGGGAGGCCTAATTCGGCCTGCGTGCCAAGGCGGGCGTGTGGGGTCCTTGGGCGTGCGTAAAATCATGTTGGCATTCAGCCTACTACTGCTGCTGAGCATGCCTAAACGAGCTCAGAATGGTTTTTGGGGTATGATCGTTTCGGCTATGCTAGTTCTGGGTAAACCTAAGCGAGTTTAGAGCGGTTGTGCCATTCAAAGAATCAAGAGGAGCCCAAAGCTACACGGAAGAGTCGACGTGTTTCCTAAAGCGCAAGTGGCAACGCCATGTGGCGACGATGCGCGCGAAGCTGGGTAGACTTGAGAAACTCGCATCGCCAGTCCCAAAATCCCTCTCCCTATCGGAGGTTGCAAAAGGTGCCCCTGACCCAAGGTGCCCCCAGCTGTTCGGCCAGTGTTGGAGCCCGGGGGCCCTCTGGGCCTCGTGAGGGGTGCTCTGGAGGCCGTAGGGGCCTCTGGGGAAACCCTAGGGGCACCCAGGGCCAGGGGCACTTCTGGCGACATCCGACCCCAGGGTCCCGCTTGGGACCACACGAAGAGTGACCCACGACCGAGCGTGAGCCTTGGCGCGCGGCCTCCCGCTCGCCGGGTGCCCCGCCCCCCGCGCCCCACGAAGGCTGCGCACACGAGGCCACTCTGGCGAGGGGCCACTGCTCCGTGGCGGGCCCCGGGAACCCTGAACCCAAAAGTATGGTCATCTTCGGGGGCAGGGCATAGGAGCCTCCCATCTCATCTTGTCGGCTCTTGCGAATCGACGCTGCTCGACCTCAAATCGGCGCTTCTCGACGCCAATCGTCGCTCATCGATGATACATCGGGCTCTCCCATCGACTCCCGGACGTTGCTCGACGCTGGTCGACGCTAAAAGACGGAAGTCAGGGAGCACGCCAGGCTCCCATGCTTTGCTGACCGAATCGCCTCCTGGATGGGGCATGACTTCACCCAGCCTCCGCCAGCGGAGCGGCCCCGTCCTGCCTCCGCCGCCTTCCGCCGGCCTTCCGCCGCCCTCCGCCGAGGAAAAGACGACCTCCTCCTCCTCCCTCCTCCTCCTCCTCCTCCTCCCTCCTCCTCCTCCTCCTCCTCCTCCTCCTCCTCCCTCCTCCTCCTCCTCCTCCCTCCTCCTCCTCCTCCTCCTCCTCCTCCTCCTCCTCCTCTCCTCCTCCTCCTCCTCCTCCCTCCCTCCCTCCCTCCTCCACCCTCCCTCCCTCCCTCTCCTCCCTCCCTCCCTCCTCCTCTCCTCCTCCTCCTCCCTCTTCCTCCTCCTTCCTCCCCCTCTCCCTCCAGCAGGGGGGGGGTATCATCTAGGGGGCCCCTGCGAACCCTACCCCTACCCCCATGATTTCTGAGGGTAAGGGTGGGGTTCACGTCGTCCGGGAGCTCCCGAGCGAAGTGAACCCCACCCTCCCCCTCAGAAATCGTGGGGGGTAGGGGTCGGGTTCGCATGGGGCCCCCCATTGGAGACAGAGAACCTGCGGAAGCCCCCGAGAGGACGAAGCTGGACCGGAAGCAGGCGCCAGAGGACCGAAAAACAACTCGCACAACGACCAGCCATACACACGAGACCTTCAAAAGTATACGCAGCACGTTCGAAGGGAAATTGAACAGGGCAGGACTGTACTGTAATTCGCAGGACAGTGTAGCAAACGTCCGTTATGGAAGGTCGGGGTGCGTTTTCCTCCCTTCCCGCTCCTCCGACGTTGCAACTCGTTCGTAACGTTGGCCCCCAATGATCTCGACCATTTCCCTGGAGCGGGCTTTTCATCCCGAACCATTTTCTGTCGGCCCTGGAGTCACGACACGGCCTCCAAAGAGGAAACAATGAAAAAGGTACCGATACCGCAACTCCCTGAGTTGAACTCCTCATGGGACAACGGAACGTGTGAGCGGTGTGCCGAACTGTGCGGCGGGGTCGCATTTGGCCTCAGGCGCTGGGCCTTACGTGGAGATCCCTACAGGGCCACGAAGCGTGTGAGGCGTGTACCGACACAGAGGCATGCAGAGGGCTGAGGCAGGGATGGGAGGGGGAGGAGGGAGGGCGAGGAACGGCTGAAAGAGGTGAGACGCGGGGCGCTGTCTCTTCCAGAAAAAAACACAACACCACATAATGTTTGAGAACAAGCAATACGCAGCAGCTGCAACCGCTGACCACACAGAGCTGCAGCTCAAGGCAACGGCTGAAGCATCGCGAAGTACACTTCACTCGCGGACCTGGCCAGAGCGCGTATGGCAATGCAGTGCGCGCTGCGTGGACACAATATAACTTGAACATGAGCTAACATGCGGTAGCCTAAACACTGATACACTAAGTTAAGTCAGTAGAAAAAGGTAGTGGCTAAATCATGGTAAGGCTGTAGCAGAAATCTAGCTACAACCTGAACACAAACAGTGATTTAGCGTTACACAATTTATGATCTCTTTTACATTCAAGATCACCTCAACGCTCTGACCATGACTTCGAGGCGAACCCGGCCGCGGCGAAGAGGGCTCCCCAGAACAGGCAGCGGTATCCGTACACCTCCTCCCCCTCCTCTGAACTGGAAACCGTTCTTTAACTATCATTCGCGGTAGCGCCCGTGTCCGCCCCCCCCTCTCCCCCCCCAAGTCACGTCACGATTCGCGCCAGCGCCGTCTGGGAAGAGGAATTACCACTCTTGTGCATTCCTTGGGCGGCGCTGGCGCGAGTCGGCTCCCTCCTCCCTGTTCCCCTCCTCTCCAGCCACGCCCGTTGTCGCCAAGGATGAGAAAAAAAACTGTCTCCCTGGGGAAACCAAAAGGTATCGATACCGCTGCTCCCCCGACCTCTCCCCATGTAGGTTGCGCTCTGGCCAGTATCTCGCAGCGAATCCAGAGGTTCGGCGGTGGACAAACCTCCCTTTAGCAAACCTCCCCTTAGTGAAAACGGCCTGGGACCGAAACCGACGGACCTGGACCCGCAAAAATGACGGCCGCGACGCCCTCTCGCGAACCGAGAACGGCCAATTCCTGAATCGACGCGTCAGGGTAGGAGGTCTGGCCACCCCCGAGAGGGCGGTTCCTTTTCAAAGTGTGGCTTCCGCCTTAGCGGTAGCGCCGCGCACATTCGCCTTAACAGTTTCAACGTGTTCAAGGATTCGCAGGACTAACGCCCCCCAAATGCTGTTTTGGCACCATGTAGGACCACCCGAGCGCAACAATTACATTGATGCGTGGCGTGGAAGTCCCAGGACTGGTGTTGGGAGGTGGCGGCGAGGGCCAGGGGGACAACGGGCGAAGGGCCGAAAGTGTGGCTACCCTCCCTGACCTGCTGCCACGCCCGGATATCCGAGGGCTGCGGCGCGGCAGGGGCCCCCGGCGCGCGCGCCGAGGCCCCGGCGCAGCCGCCGCGGGGGCCTTGCCGGCAGGCTCCGCGCCTCGCGCGGGCGAGGCGGTGTTTGGCCGGCCGGGCTCCCAGAGGGGAGCGCGGGGCGGACAGCGCGGCCGGTGTGCCACCTCGCCAGGGAGCGGATCCTCGAGGGATCCTCGAGGGATGGGGGGAGGGGAACGGAGAGGAAGAAGAAGAAGAAGAAGAAAAAGAAGAATAATAAGAACAGGGAGGAGGGAGGAGGGGGGGGACAAGGAGCGAGGAGGGAGGTGGGAGAAGGGAGGAGGGGGGAGGAGGAGGAGGGAGGTGGGAGGGGTGGAGGAGGAGGAGGAGGAGGAGGAGGAGGAGGAGGAGGAGGAGGAGGAGAGGAGAAGGAGGAGGAGGAGGAGGAGGAGGAGGAGGGAAGAGGGGGGGGGAGGGGGAGGGGGGAAGAGGGGGGAGGGGAGGGGGAAGAGGGGGGAAGAGGGGGTGGAGGAGGAGGAGGAGGAGGAGGAGGAGGAGGAGGAGGTGGAGGAGGGAAGACGACGAGCAGGAGGGTCAGGGCAGAGGGGGGGATGGAGGGAGGTGGAGGAACACAGGTGAGCAGGGCGGAGGGAGGATGGGGGGAGGAGGACGAGGAGAATGACGAGGAGGAGCACGCGAAAGCCAAGGCGCTTGGGAGGCCAGCCGCTCCAGGAGGACGACGACGACGACGCGGCCGGCGGCCTTCGTCGCCCTCGCCCGCCGGCGCAGGGCTCAGCACGGCGCAGCTCCAAGGCGTCTGGTCCTGCGCCGCGGGCCCGCGCGGCCAGCGAGAGGCGCCGGTGTCGCCGTCGTCGGTCCCGGCCGCCGTCGGTCGGCGCCGGCGGCGTTGGCGCCGCCGCCGCCGTCGGTCGGCGTCGTCGTCGGTCGCCAGAGGAGCGCGTCAGGCAGAGCGGGGTCCTGCGGGGGAGGGCCCCGGGCCGTGCCGCCGCTGCTGGCCTCCACGGCCCCTCCCTGGGCCCAGGGGCCGCCGAGGGGAACGACTCCGAGGACGAGCATAGCTGGGGAGCAGCGGGTGCCGAGGCGCTTCGGCGCTGTCCAAGCACGGCCCCGGGGAGGAGAGGCGGTGTCCCTGGGGGAGGGCGAGGCCCGAGGTGCCCCTCTTCCCGCACGGGGCCCGCCTCCGTGGCCCCACGGGAGGGCGCAGAGCAGAGAGCGGGGGCGGGACGACACGAGGACACACCAAGGCCACGCTAAAAGCGGTGTTTTTTCACGGGGATGTCAGGAACCAAGGTGTAGGCAATCACGAACCACACGCTCCTACATTTCCCATACGCGAAATATTATCGAACGAAAACGGCACAACGAGTTGCAGGAAAGAGCAAGAGCCACGCGTTCCCACAAGACCGAACCCTACATCGCCGCTGCCTACATCGCCGTCAGCGTCTCTACGGACACAAGAGTGGCACCTTGGAGCCTTCAACCCCGGCTGTACGGCGCTGCTCCGCAGCCGATCTTCGACCGTCCCCCGTTGCCCGTACAATCCATGCGTGGCCACTTCGGATCACATGCCCTCCACGGGTGCAGCATCGGGAGGAGGGTAGCGCAGGGACGGCCCAGGGGGGGCTTCTCTCGACGGCGTGTGACGGGGCGTTGTGGGCAGATTCGGGGGCGACGCCACGAGCGGTGCGCTGCGAGGTCACCGGCCCTGCAGATTGCCTCATGAACCGAAGGTGAGGAAGTTGGCCACAGCGTCGCTTACCAGCTAGCCAGGGTGGGAAGACAGGAGTGGTCAGAAATGTCGGTGGGCCGCTGGGCAGAAAACGTAAGCCGTGATGCAGCGCTAAGACGAAGAGGAAGGTTGACCATACAGTCCCTCCTTCGTCGTCGTCGCCGTGGTCAACTTCCAGGTGTCGGCGGGATGGCGCAAGCCTTGAAACACAGACGCTAGGATAACTCTGGGCCTGCCGCCCAGTCGAGCATGCAGCCCAGTAGGGCGCCAGCTCTGCACCTGCACCGACCCCTGGCCAAGTCCGTCCTGGGCCCTGGAGGGGCCTGGCCAGGATCGGTGCGGGTATCTGCGGCGAGAGCGTCGGACAAGGAACCATTGGATAAGAAATCCAGGGTACGCAAGCAAGTGGGACTCGAATCGTGGACTGGCCATGGATATCACCGCCGCCCTCCTCAGAAAAGGCATTCCCCAGGGCCTGAAGCCTCACGGGAACACTCCTTAACCAACGCCGCCACTGTACTTGGCGACCTCCGATTGGGGATTGGGTCCCGAGGGCCACCTCTGGAGCAACCTCCCTGGCAGCCCTGGCGGCCCGCGGACACCTCTGCGCCAAGACGCGGGCGCAGGCGGCAGTCCAGACCCTCAGCGGCACACGCAAGGCCGCGACGGCGGGTCTCTGAAGGAAGTCTCCCGGCGCCCGCTTCGGGCCCGCCTGGGCTGTTCTGGTGCTCGTCGACAGGGTAGGGGTGCTCGACGGGAGGTGCGGGTGCGGGTGCCCTTCGTGCCACCTTTTGGGCCCGAGGTGGCAGTTTAGAGGGAGTCCGGCAAACCTCGCATCCCCCACGCTGATGACCCCCTGTGAAGGGGCCCCAGGACACACAAATAAATACACACAAGTAAAAATATGCCCCATATTTTCCTATATTCCCTTGGTTTTTGTATTCCCCCCCACTTCCCATATTTTCCTATATTTTGGGGGGAAATCGACGATTAATTGTGTCTGTGTGCTTTTTTTCCCCTCCTGACCCTGGTGCCGCCCGCCCGAGCTGCCAAAAGGCTGTCCAGGACGAGAGCTGGCCCCTGGGACGGGGTCGAGAGGGTCGGGAGAGCCCCCGCCCCCAGGGCTCCGAGGACTGAGCCTTCTCACTGCGGGATCCCCGGAGCTCCCCTGGGCCCGGGCCTTCTGTCCCAGAGCGGTGTATGACGATCAGGAGCCCCCGGCGAGGGCTCCCAGGATGCCGAAAATGGCGAAAACGCCTCCGTCCGGATGTTCCCTGTGCGTTGTGGAGGCCTGGCTCCTCAGGGGCTTCGCGTCGAAGGGCCCGGCCCCAGAGGGCCTCGGGAGGCCCCGAGGGGCGCCTTCGGGGACCCCAGGAGGAGGAGGAGGGAGGAGGAGGGAGGAGGAGGGAGGAGGGAGGAGGAGGGAGGAGGAGGGAGGAGGGAGGGAGGGGAGGGAGGAGGGAGGAGGAGGGAGGAGGAGGAGGAGGGAGGGAGGGAGGAGGGAGGAGGGAGGGAGGAGGGAGGAGGGAGGAGGGAGGGAGGGAGGAGGAGCAGGGGTCTCCATGTTTTCCACGCGGGGCAATCTCTTGCCCTCCTTCGGGCCCCCGCAGGAGCCTCACAGCTCGACCGGGCTCGAGGCATGCCACACACGTATGGGGTTTGGAGCTCGGGTCGCACCTTCTCGCAGTGCTCCACAATCAATGCTTGCACTAATCAATGGGCCCCAGGACACACAAATAAATACACACAAACAAAAAGATGCCCCATATTTTCTCATATTTTCTGGGTCTTTGTCTTCCCCCCCCCCACTTCCCATATTTTCCTATATTTTGGGGGGGGAATCGACGATCAATTCTGTCTGTGTGTTTTTTCCTCTCCTGAACTAAAGGGATCCTAGCGGAGGTTCACAGATTCGGCAAAATAGTACTGGGCCGACTTCGGTGGCCCGCTGGGTGCCTGGATTTAGGGTTCCGGGTTCGCACGGGTTCCCGGTTGTTGGTTCCAGGTCGATTTCGGTGGGCGGCGGGGTTCCCGGGTTCCCGGGTTCCCGGTCGATCTCCCCATCGATCTCTCTATCGATGCCACGATCGAAGTAACTATCGATGTCATGTTCGATCCCACGGTCCATCTCACTCAATCGATCTCACGATGGACTGTACGATCGACCTTCCAATCGATTTCAATATCGATCTCCCTATGGGTCTCGCTCAATTGACCTCACTAACGGTCTAACTACCGATCCCACGATCGACCTCTCCATCGAACTCTCTATAGATCTCACTATCGATCGCACGATCGATCTGATTATCGATACCACAATATCCCTATGGACGATCGATATCGCGATCGATGCCCCTATCGATTTCACTCGCTCGACTTCACTAGCAGTCCCACTGTCGACCTTACTATCGCCCTTACTACCGATCTCTCTACCGAACGCACACTCGATATCATTATCCATCTCACAATCGAACTGCCTAACGATCGCACTATCGATCAAGGTATCGATCTAACAATTGCCCCCGCGATCGATCTAAGTATTTCGGGATACCAAACGACATTCATGTAGTCGCATGTAAGAATGCATAGATACATACGTGTATGCATACTTCCAAATATGTCAGATTTGCATGCGGACAGGGAGCACACAGTCAAGCTAATAAGCATTTCCCCAGTCAGTGCTTGCACTGAAGGGGTCCTAGCGGATGTTGATTTTGGTAGGCGACCGGATTCCCAGGTTCCCGGTTCCCGCTATAACGGTAGCTCGTTCTGGGCCGACTTCGGTGGGCGGAGGGGTTCGGGGGGTTCCGGGTTCCCAGTCGATCTTCCGAACGATCTCTGTATCGATCTCACTCTCGATCCCACTATCGATGCTATGATCGGTCTCACTATCTATCTCACTCAGACGACGCCACTCTCGATCTCCTTATCGATAGCGAAGAAATGGACAAACGCCCTCCCCAGCGCAGCAAGGCGACTTAATGAAATAGGGTGCCCCCTGCTTTAGCCAGACAGCCCAGCACACCCCAGCCCGGCACAGCGACTTAACAAAATATGGCCCCCCTGCGTCTACCAGCCTGCCAATCCGGCCCACCCCGGCCCCAGCCTGCGAATTCAGAAAATGGCCCCTGGCGTTAGCCGACCAACCCAGCACACCCCAGCCCACAACAGCGACTGAACAACATGGGGTCCCCCTGGCGTTGGCCGACCAGCACCCCAGTCCAGCACGATGCATATATACAGTGGAAGACGATGAGGAGAAGGATAATCAGCATGGGGAGGCGAAAAGGAGGGGAAAGAGGAGGAGGAGGAGGAGGAGGAGGAGGAGCGCACGTAGCTTAGGAGCATGAGGAGGAGGAGGAGGAGGAGAAAGAGGAAGAGAGGAGGAGGAGGAGGAGGAGGGAGGAGAAGGAAGGAAAATAAGGAAGCTGACGAGGTAAGAGGGGGAGGAAGCGCAGAACGCCCTCAGAGGAGAGGCTGGCCAAACGCCAAACGCCGCCCACCCTCCCCAGCCGGCGAATTAACAAAATGGGGTCCCCCAGGCTTTGGCTGGCTGGCCCCGCCCACCCTGGCCCAGCACGGCGATCTCACAAAATGGGGTCCCCCTGGCGTTAGCCGACCAAACCGGCCCATTCCAACCCAACACGGCGACTTAACAAAATGGGGCCCCCTGGCTTTAATCGACCAGCCCGGCCCACCCCAGTCCAGCACAGCGATTTAATACAATGGAGGAGGATAAGCAGGAGAAGCAGGGCCGTATTGGGCCGTCGACGGGCACTCTGACGTCGTCTATCTTGGAGGCATCTTTGGCCGTCTCGAACCGACGCATGCCCTGTAAGGCCAGAATGCCATAACCCATTTAAAACTTACAAGGAATCCGTATTTAGGACCTCTTTGGGCCCTACGGCGAAATTGCGGCCAGGCATGGTGCTCGCCAGATTGTCAAACCATCCACTGATTGAGTTTTTCTCGAGCGTAATTGCAATTTTGTTCGCACCGTTGGATCTCACGGGTGTCCCAGAGATCAAAGCAAAAAAACATGAAGCTTTGATAATCGATCCCTCCTCCTGAGGCTGCGGACGGTGTCCAGTGGAATTAGTGCGACGCCTTCGACGAGCCTCCTCCCAGCATTCGCCAGGGGATGACGGTAGAAAAAACCAAGAGGTAGAGGCAGAAGAAAGAACGACCGAACGGAGAACGGGTTCTGGGGGCAGGCAGAGAGGGGTTGCGAACGGCGAGTGGTTGCTGGGGTTGCTGCTGCGCGCCTGTGTCCTCGTCCCCCTCCTCCTCCTCCTCCTCCTCCTCCTCCTCCTCCTCCTTGCCCGTCCTCGTCGGCAGGGTCCACGCCGGGCGAGCAGCTCTTCTTGCAGCTCGCCCAGTAGGCGTCCTTCTCGAAGCAGCTGAGGCCCTCGCGGCGCGTGGCCCGTCGGGGACGTCCAAGGGGGGGGTCCGCGGCCCAGCGGGGCCAGGGGACGTATTGAAGCACGCGGGGAGCATGACATCTGGGAGGAGGAGGAGGAGGAGGAGGAGGAGGAGGAGGAGGAGGAGGAGGAGGAGGAGGAGGAGGGGGAGGAGGAGGAGGAGGAGGGAAATATCATGGCCCAGGCCTTGATATCCATCCCCTCCTAAGTCGTCACCCCCCTATAGTGGCCGCCCCCAGGCCAGGCGCAGGGCCGGGCGCCAGGAAACGGGGGGATGGGCCCAGGGTGCGCTGGCAGCCAGTGCTGTTGCCCAGAACCTCGCTCGCGCCTTCGTTCACGCGCTCGAGTGCTGTCCCCGCCGCAGCGGACCCATGCGCGGTGAGGCTACGTTGACAGTGACCAGCACGCATCGCCGTCGGGAGGCGATGTAGAGCAGCTGCACCTCCACACTCGCCTCCTCCGCCTGCTCTTCCTGCCCACCTCCTCCACCTCCCCCTCCACAATGTCCTCCTCCCCTCCGTATTCCGATCTCCCTCTGGTTGGGTACTCGATTTGAAGAGAGTCATCCTGCTCCCGCTTCTCCTCTTCCTGCCTACTCCCTTCCGTGTCCCCATTCTCTCATACCTCCTCATGCATCTTACCTCCTCCTGATGTTGATGTCCACGTCCTACAGATTCCTCGCGCCCATGTTGCTGGAGGAAGTCCGTAGTGTTTTGCAGGCTGATGGAAGGGGCCTCGTATCCTAGTCCTCGAAAGCGTGTCGAGGTTCTTCGGTAGGTGTGCAGCAGCACCCAGAACATCTCCAGAGGTAGGGGCCACGGAGGGGAGGCTCTTCGCCTAGTGGCGCTTCTCTGAAGTAGTTGGAGAACAGCTGGAGCTGTCCTGTGGCCCGTGGGAATCCCTCTTTGGTGAAGGGGGGGTGAACTTTTCTACTTCAAGGCCATGCTCGGGATGATATACACAAAATCGCTGTTCTCCTGGACCCTACTGATGATGATGGCCTGCAGGCCCCCTTGGCTGGAGGGCAACTGAAGCTGAGCCCGAAGATCAGCAGCGCACGATGCAGCAATAACATCACGATAGTTACGCTTCTTCGGGCCCGTCCCGCGGGGAGGGAGGGAGGGAGGGAGGGAGAGAGGGAGGGAAATGAGAGGGAGGGAGGGAGGGAGGGAGAAGAGGAGGTGGAGGAGGCAACAGGGGAGGGGGGCAGGGCTAGAAGAGGAAGACGAGGAGGGCGGAGGGAGTGAGAAGGGCGACGTGAGAGAGGATGGGGAGTCACAGATGACTCCAGGAGAACTGGAGCAGGGAGGGATGGACGCGGGAGGGAGTGAGGCCCCAGGGCCCCGGCCTCGTCCGCACAGCACTTGGAGGCCGTGCAGTCCTTGCCCTCGGCGACGCAGGCGGCCTGGAACTGTTGCTTCGCTTACGCGACAATGACGACCCCATGTCCTCCTCCTCCTCCTCCTCCTCCTCCTCCTCCTCGTCTCCTCCTCCTCCTTCGTCTCCTCCTCCTCCTCCTCCTCCTCCTCCTCCTCCTCCTCCTCCTCCTCCTCCTCCCGCAACCACTGCACGCGCAGTCCACATGCCACCGTCCAGAATTTTAAGATAAGGAGCGAAGCCCCGTGCCTGCCCTCGACAGCGCCTCGGCGCGCGGGGCGCAGGCGAGGAAAGACCATGGAAGGACCTGAGGGCCAGCGAGCATTAAGTCGGGCCTGTCCCCCCAC